TGTTCCTTCCTCCATCCCTCACCCCACTTCCCCCCCTAGTAACTCCACCTTCCTCTCTGTTCTTCTGCTTTCCCTTATCCTCTTTCGCTCTCTCTCTCATTCCCTCCTACTGGTCACCGATACACGCGCGTCACTCAAACTTCTCTCTCCTCCATATCCCTCCCCTCCCTCTTTCTGTTCCTTCCCTCATCTTTCGTCTGCCTCCTCCCTCCCTTCCCCCCCAGCTGACCGCTGTCGCACGCGCGTCCCTCAGCACGTGCTGGCCAGGCCCGCGTGCGCCACCTCTACCTCTGGGCTACAATGACACATGTCCAACCTTGAAACATCTGTTTCCAAAACTACAGAAATCTTTATTCGCAGTGGGAAATAGCACGTTCAACTTTTCTAAAGCTGAACACGAGCTTCTAATTATGTAGCACACAAGCACTACAGTGGACGTAGAATAACTGATTGTCCTGGTCTCCTTCACACAATTTTCTAATCATTATCATTTTAAAAGCTTTTGGTTGTCAAAGATCGTTGCTGGACCACAAGACCCTTGTGTCAAATCCCGGAAGACAGCTGAGGAAGTCTCAACCCGAACAGGCTAATCCCTTTCTCGCTAATCCCTTCCTCGTGTGAGGAGATTAATGCAGAAAATATGCAGTAATATAGTAACAAACTAATTTTAAACTTGTTTTCTGTGCAAAAACAATAATTATTATACTACTCATAAATATGATAAATGTACTTTGATGAATCACATGGTATTATTGAGTTCTGAATTTAAACTTGAGTTTTGTGTGCTGAAGGTTTGTTTGTTTGTATGTGCTGAATGTAGGATGCCAGTGTGTATATTTATGTGTATGGGAAGCCTTATCTATTTGATTTGTGTAGTAAGCCTTTATTTATGTGCATTGTAGGAGTATGTGCACTAGGAGACTCGAACTGCCGACCCCACGGACGTGGGGTCGGCAGTTCCGACCCCACTAAGTCGGCAGTGCCTACCCCACTAAGTACTTAGGAATAAATGATTTACAGCCTCACGACCGTAGGTCAGCGGTTCGAGTCTCCTAGTCCCCATGTGAATGAAGGTAATGTGAATGTCATATTTGTTCGAGGTTAACCTCGAACAAATATGATACGTGGAGAAATCCTTTTCTAATTAAACGAAGATTCAGGAACACTAGTCAGAGGGATACAAGCCTTGAACAAGGAAATAATTAACACAGAATTTGCATTCCTATTCAGAGAAACGTGTCAAAATGAAAACCTGCTGCCAGTAAATATATATATATATATATATAGTATATATATATATATATATATATATATATATATATATATATATATATATATATATATATATATATATATATATATATATATATATATATATATATATATATATATATGCGTGTGTGTGTCTTGAAATAATCCAGCATCCCAATGTCAATTATTTAATTATGTTACCATACAATTAGTTTCACTATTTAACAACTCTTTCCTCACCAATAATTATCCAGTTCTTTTCTGAATGTAATCGTGTTGAGTTTTCTTAGTTTCTCATCACATGGTAGGTTCCTTACTCGAAAAATATATACTTCATTATTTGTCTGTTCACATTCAAGTAAATTTATATCTAGTACATAGTACGGTGACCAAAACTAAACTCTCTAATCTAAATGATGCTTAACATGGGCAAGAATATGTTTAAGAATATCATTAGATCTTAGTATCGTATTAGCTTTATTAAGTACATTGGTAAATTCATTGTAAATTCATTTTAGTACATTTGGTACAAGGTAAATTCAGCATTCTCCAGATGAAATGTAGTAACATTCTTATCATTATCTAGGCTCAGGGGTTCCACATCTATCAACCACTGACAGATTAAACTGCTGCCTCATTAACTACTATCACAACAGTCTCCTCACATAGGTGTAGCTTATCGCGGTCTCCTGAATCCTTTCTTTTGTACATATTACATGTGTCTACCCTCTCAATTCCTCTTATAATCATATACATCGTGATCATATCCCCTCTGTGTCTTTTTTGTTATGAAGGTATGTTTTAATTATGTTATGCTGTAAGTTATGCGTGCATAACATAATTTTTGTATCTAAATACAGTAATGTATTTCTCTGCATTTTATGGATACGAGTGTAATGCAGAGCTGTTATTCTTCATACTATGAAAACGAGATTTTAAAAGCAAAAATCTCTGATCACCGATACGGTGAGTCTGAAGTACAAGGCCGCCGAGTGGCCAGCTGAGTAATCTACACAATATGTATGATTAATCTCCCAAATTAATCTCTTTTATTCTTCTTTCAGTAAAGATCAGCTATGTTTGTGTACTCACTTTGATGTGCTTACCTGGATGAGCTTGCCCGACCGGGTATTAATTCTAAGCCTTATATATGTGTTATTTTCAGTTTAATGCAATGATACAATTCCCATGACTTCCTTGACATATTCTCCTTTAAACGTGTCAATAAAATAAGCTTCATTTTCTTCTTCATCTAACTCGTTCTTCTTATTTTCAATGCAGTCACTGAAGACGTATTTTCTCTGTGACTCATTTCTATCTGTTTAGTCCTTTTATATCTCCCAGTTACCCGTATCAAGCTTTAAACATCGCTGTTTTTCTACTTTGTCACTTATCCCTATTATTTTCTTTCTACTTCGGCCCTTATCCCTATTATTTTCTTTCTACTTCGGCACTTACCCCTATTATTTTGTATTCTATATCCCCCTTTTGAATTCTCTCCAGTGTAGTGAGGTCTAATTACCTTAGTCTTTCCTCGTAACTCAGGCTATTTTTCTAGATTTGTTTTGTTCTTTAACGGGTGATGGTTTCACGTGTGAGCTGTATACACAATAGTGGGTTGCACAGCAGCTGTATATAGGACTCAGAACACTCCTTTTCTCATACACGTAGAGGCTATGCTGAGGTTGGCAAATGTGACAGTGCTCTCACAAAATTCGCTTTACATGCAGGCGATAAGTTACAATAACGTGGCTGAAGTATGTTGACCAAACCACACACTACAAAGTGAAGGGACGACAATGTTTCGGTCCGTCCTGGACAATTCTCAAGTCAATTGTGGCCATTCCAGCCGTCCTGGACCATTCTCACAATCGACTTGAGAATGGTCCAGGACGGACCGAAACGTCGTCGTCCCTTCATTTTCTAGTGTGTAGTCTGGTTCGCTTTACATGGTCTTCTAGGATTAGACTTAGGGTTATGTCTATCACCAGATTTTCCCTTTTTAATTTTCAGTAATTTGTCTATTTGTTATTCGATAATACTGTTCAGGTGTTCTCACACTAGTTCCAATCTTCATAACTTTGTATTTGTCTTCATTGAAGCAAGCAGATATTAGTTTTCTTAGACCATCTCTAAGAGTGTGGTTTGACTGCTCTACAGTATTTCACCATTCCTGTCTTTTCTGATTTTTCTCAATATTGTTGTATTATCAGGACACGTGGAAATGACGGAGTCTATTTCATCTGTTAGGTCGTTGACATATTAAAAGCTTGTCGAGGTCTCGTATCGACCCTTGTGGCACTCCACTCATTACGCTTACCCCCCCCCCCCCCCCCCGCCTTCCCCTATGTCGTTTCTCTCGCTGTGTTTCTTCGCCTCCTTCCTGAGTAAGCGTGTTAAGATACGGTTTTGTATGCAAGAGAAAGTGTTAAGTATTATGGGCTAGGTTTTAAACATTCTTAACGCCTGATTAAAATTAACAATTTAATATTTTCAATAGAGTGCTCAGTGAATGTTGCAGCTGAGTAACAGCACTCTGGGAGGCAATATGAACGTGCTTCTTAAAAAGAGAAAGATATCCACCGTTGGAGGGAAAAAAATCACATATAAAGATTGAAAGACACGCCTCAGTTTACCCCTAAATTACTCTTAAGATATTCGCGGAAAATATAATAAATTAAAAACAAAGGCATTAAAACCAAATTGAAGTTTGATTAACACACATAAAAACAGAAATGGTTTCCCTTCTACAGCGGCGAAAATAATGGACACAAATCCACACACTCCTCAGATACCGCTTTGGTACATTTCCTCCGCCATATTGATCTGTAGCCGAGTGTCACGCCTCAGAGGCGCTACACGCACACTTTCTCACGTCCATCCATGCTCAAGAAAACAAAGGAGCCAAGAACTAACATCTGACGAATTCAGTATTTGCGAGGCGAGCTGGATAAGGCAGAGGACCTTACAAGAGCAGGAGAAGGACCTGAGTCGAAGAGGAGGATCTAAGAAGAGTATTAAAGAGTATTAAGATAAGGACTTGAGAAGAGGAGGAGCAGAAGGCCCTGATATAGGGAGAAGAATCACATGAAGGTGAAAGAGGAAATCTTTGACGTAATAAAGTAGGAGAAAGAATTAAGCTTGATTGGCAGGAGCAAAAAGAAGATGTGGAGGACGTGAGAGAAGGACGAGATAGCCTTAGAAGAGAAGAAAAGAAACAAAAATATGAGCAAAGACAGGAAGGAGACAAGCAGAAAAATAGGAAGAGGGCCTGGAACAAGACGAATGGAAGCAAAAACAGGATGATGGGGAACAGACACAAGAGGTACAGGAGCAGATATCAGAGACAGAAGGAAGTGGAGCAGATACAAGAAGAAGAAGGAGGGAAGAAGAGACACGGTCGAGGAAGAGCTGAGGGAGAAGAAGGCGACCAGCATCGCAGATATAATGTATGCTAGCCCACACCTCTGCTCCACAATGACGCCTCTCGATCAACAACTCAAGATGATGACACGAGAATTGAAAATGGTCCTGTTGATTTACCAAGGCAGCGACATCCTTAAGGCGGGAAACCACGTTTATTGAATCCTAGTCCAAACAACACAGCATGAACAACTCTGTGCTCTGTAGTCCAGACCACACTGCATGAACAACTCTGCACATTATCCTACATGTATGAATATGTCCTGTAGAATAATGTGCAGAGTTATTCAGGCAGGATTACGAATATATCCTGACAAGCTCTGAAGTCATTGCCAGAGGTCAGGTGCGAGAGGAAGGAAGGCAGGTCCTCCACAAGCCCTGAAGTCACTGCCAGAGGCCAGGTGTGAGAGGAAGGCAGGTCCCCCACAAGCCCTGAAGTCACTGCCAGAGGCCAGGTGTGAGAGGAAGGCAGGTCCCCCACAATCCCTGAAGTCACTGCCAGAGGCCAGGTGTGAGAGGAAGGAAGGTCCCCCACAATCCCAGAAGTCACTGCCAGAGGCCAGGTGTGAGAGGAAGGCAGGTCCCCCACAAGCCCTGAAGTCACTGCCAGAGGCCAGGTGTGAGAGGAAGGCAGGTCCCCCACAATCCCTGAAGTCACTGCCAGAGGCCAGGTGTGAGAGGAAGGCAGGTCCCCCACAATCCCTGAAGTCACTGCCAGAGGCCAGGTGTGAGAGGAAGGCAGGTCCCCCACAATCCCAGAAGTCACTGCCAGAGGCCAGGTGTGAGAGGAAGGCAGGTCCCCCACAATCCCTGAAGTCACTGCCAGAGGCCAGGTGTGAGAGGAAGGCAGGTCCCCCACAATCCCTGAAGTCACTGCCAGAGGCCAGGTGTGAGAGGAAGGCAGGTCCCCCACAATCCCTGAAGTCACTGCCAGAGGCCAGGTGTGAGAGGAAGGCAGGTCCCCCACAATCCCTGAAGTCACTGCCAGAGGCCAGGTGTGAGAGGAAGGCAGGTCCCCCACAATCCCTGAAGTCACTGCCAGAGGCCAGGTGTGAGAGGAAGGCAGGTCCCCCACAATCCCTGAAGTCACTGCCAGAGGCCAGGTGTGAGAGGAAGGCAGGTCCTCCACAATCCCAGAAGTCACTGCCAGAGGCCAGGTGTGAGAGGAAGGCAGGTCCCCCACAATCCCTGAAGTCACTGCCAGAGGCCAGGTGTGAGAGGAAGGCAGGTCCTCCACAATCCCAGAAGTCACTGCCAGAGGCCAGGTGTGAGAGGAAGGCAGGTCCTCCACAATCCCAGAAGTCACTGCCAGAGGCCAGGTGTGAGAGGAAGGCAGGTCCTCCACAATCCCAGAAGTCACTGCCAGAGGCCAGGTGTGAGAGGAAGGCAGGTCCTCCACAAGCCCTGAAGTCACTTAACTGTCCCCTGGAGCATGTATGAAACACAGTAATAATACAATAATTTAACAATGACTCTAAAACAACGGTTCGGATTCTGCGAAACACTGAGCCACCAAACGATGTAAACATCGTCACTTCATTCCACGTCCTCCTGCAGAACCGAGCCTGAGGTGTTTTGGGAGACACATCTCCTGCCTTGCTTCTGGTAAATTTAGTTTCAAGGAGTAAAGATGAAAAGAAAGTAACATATGGTGTGGTGGGAGGGGCGTGGGGGATGGAGGGTAGCGTGGCTGCCCTCCTCTTGGTTGACTCTGATGGGGGGCATGGTGGGGGGGGGGGAGGGCATGGTGACTGGGCATGGTGGGGGGAGGGGGGGGAGGGCATGGTGACTGGGCATGGTGGGGGGGGGGCATAAACCGGAGCGTGCGATTTAGGCACGCGTGACTTGGGCACGTGTGACTGGGGGTACGTGTGACTGGGACACGTCTGACTGGGGCCCGTGTGGTTGGTACACGTCTGACTGGGGCCCGTGTGATTGGGACACGTCTGACTGGGGCCCGTGTGGTTGGTACACGTCTGACTGGGGCCCGTGTGATTGGGACACGTCTGACTGGGACACGTGTGACTGGGAGACGTCTGACTGGGGCCCGTGTAGTTGGGAGACGTGTTGGTTGCACGTGGTGAGAGGTAGAGTCAGGAATATGTGACGGATGTGCATGGGAGTGCTGGTGTATTGTGCTAGTAACTGGGAGGTCTCGTGACGTGTTCCACGTTGTAGGGAAGCATGGGGGGGGGATCAGTGAGGTAAAGTAGCATGAGGAATGAGTGAGGTGAGGAAGCATGATGGAGCTAGCGGTGAGGAAGCGTGATGATGAGGCTAGCGGTGAGGAAAACATTTTCAAACAATTATAACGAGGCATGTCAACTTCCGGTCCCTTGATGCACGTGAGATGAATGTAAGAGGTTGTGTGGGGGCTAGGATGATGTGGGGACAAGGACGGGGTGTTGTGGTGGGGGTGTGGTAGCTCTAGGAGGGGTGCTGTGGTGGGAGGGGTGTGTGAGAGAGGGGGTGAAAGAGAGGGTGTTTTGGCGAGTAGTTGACAGTATGGGTGGGGGGCAAGGAGAGGGGTGTTTGGGTATGGGGGAGGAGGCGTGATAGGGGTGAAAAAGAGGAGTCAGAGTTGAGGGGGAATGAGAAACCAGATAACTTCTATGTAGTGAACAGTGTTCCTAATGTGCTCTCATATAGACTTATCCTTGTCGATTTAAAAATTACTTCATACTTATTTAAAAATAATTAAAAAATGCAAAATGATTTGCAGATAGGCTTTTTTATGCTCTCATACTTGGCTGACAAAGTCCGACAACTCAACAAAATCTCACCAATCCTTCCATTGTGACTCACCCACGCTGTTTATCAAGTCCGTTCTCTGAATTTGCCACTCCGTAAATATCCTAAGACAATGGAATAATGTTGGAAAGAAAGAAAGAGAGAGAGAGAGAGAGAGAGAGAGAGAGAGAGAGAGAGAGAGAGAGAGAGAGAGAGAGAGAGAGAGAGAGAGAGAGAGAGAGAGAGAGAGAGACAAAGAGAGAGAGAGAGAGAGACCTCTACAAACAGAGATGTCAACAAATTATATAATTCGTTGATACTAAAGACTGTTAATTAATTAGTTAAAAGAATCCAGATAACTGGCCTATCAGGGCTTCAATTTGCATAGATTACCAACACTGGGATTCGGTTCCTCAGCTCATTTGCACATATTACAAAAGTCTGTTGATGAATATGTTGAATCATCTAACCAGCTTATCTTAACTGAATCTTGCTTAACTAGCTATATTTTGGGGTCGAGTTTCTGAGCCCCTTATGTGCCTCTTTAATATTTTCCATTATTGTTCTCAGGATGGGTATGGGGTGAACAACCGCTCATCGAATGGGTATGGGGTGCACTTTCGATCACAGGATGAGTTTGTAGAGCACTACCAATCACAGGATCGGTATGGGGTGCAGTTCCGATCACAGGATGGGTTTGGGGTGCACTTTCGATCACATGATGGGTATGGGGTGAACAACAGCTCACCGGATGGGTATGGGGGTGCACTACCGGTTACAGGATGGGTTTAAGGTGCATAGTAAATTAACTAAAGAAACGGAAAGAATGTCAGAATTTTATAACTGTCTTATGAACATTTTAGTAAAAGAGAAATCTGGAGGAGGAGAGTATGTACCTACACATGATAGACATTACCGTATTGGTCCGTCACCAGGCTGTCGAGTAGGAGAAGGCTCTCTTCCTGCTCCCCACTTCGCTAGTTTTCATGATTTAACAAACGTCATATATGTGGTGTTTTATGTCTAACCATAATCAATCGACTCCAGGCAACCGACCTGGCATGTCGATGCCAATGCTCATTGGCTTGAGAATGGTCCAGAACGGACCGAAACGTCGTCGTCCCTTCACCTTCAAGTGTGTGGTCTGGTCAACCAATGCTCATTATTTCGAGAACGCGCCAATATTGCTGTGCTTTTCTTTTTTTCACTAAGCTGTTGACGTTTTGAAGTTGTGGTTAATCGCAAAGAGAGGATGCTTCACTCCCATTGTTAAAAACTCGATTGTAAAATTCTCGCCTACGACATCGTCGAGGCAGTATAATTCAATCTATAACATCTCCTTCAACGGATCGAGTCTCTTTATATTATTAAAGTTTAAATTAAGTCTTCATCTTGTCCAGGCTTTTTCTGAGAAAATAAATTTAGTTCACTGATTCTTTCTTCGTAGCTTTGACTTCTTAATGATAGTGTCAGTTTAGTCGCCCTTGTCTGGAGGCTCTGAAGCTTGTCGTCAGACTTTTTTTGGTAGTTTCCAAAATCAGAGTTTTACACGCACTCCAGACGAGGTGTGACCACGGCACTGGGGGCAGGATGGTCACCGGGTGGATGACTGGGGGAGGGCGGGTGGATGACTGGGGTGTAGGGCAGGTGGATGACTGGGGTGTAGGGGGTGGATGACTGGGGTTTAGGGGGGGTAGATGACTGGGGTGTAAGGGGTGGATGACTGGGGTGTAGTGGGGGTGGATGACTGGGGTGTAGGGGGGTGGATGACTGGGGTGTAGGGCAGGTGGATGACTGGGGTGTAGGGGTGGATGACTGGGGTTACGGGGGGTAGATGACTGGGGTGTAAGGGGTGGATGACTGGGGTGTAGTGGGGGTGGATGACTGGGGTGTAGGGGGGTGGATGACTGGGGTGCAGGGCAGGTGGATGACTGGGGTGTAGGAGGGGGTGGATGACTGGGGTGTAGGGGGGTGGATGACTGGGGGAGGGCGGGTGTATGACTGGGGTGTAGGACGGGTTGATGACTAGGTGTCGGGCGGGTGGATGACTGGGGGAGGCGGATGGATGACTGGCGGAGGCGGGTGGATGACATGAGGGGAGTTAGAGGATAGGGGGGATGAAAATACAAAGAAAATCTAACAAAATCGGTTTCATATGTTGCCAAGAAAAAAAATTATTAAACAGTTTGCTATTTTAACATATTTATTTAACATTTTTAATAATAATTTGCCTTATACAGCTAAAGAAATTAGATGTAGAAATTTACATAAAATTCTGTAGTTTTATACAGAAACTAATTTAGTAAACTGGTTACATAATTGGCTCAAGAAATCAGATATAAAATTGCTGAAACAAATCTCATTAATTAATTTGCTAAGAAATTCGGATATCTGAAGCCGCAAAATAAGCCAGATAAATAAACTGCAAAAATAAATAAAACATTCTAATTACCCAAAGAGAGCTGAGACAGCAAGAAATTCAGTCCTCAAAAAACCCGTGGCTTCATAATTCGCTTGATTTCCAACAACACAAAAAAAATGAAAACTAGCCACTGTAACTCGTAACAGAAAGTTAGAACAGGAAAAAATAAGGTAATTCACATTATCAATAAAACTTCACTCAAACAAAAAACGAGCGGCGGACACAAAGAAAACGGCACAACGTCAACAATCCCAGACGACAGCTGGGACTCGGAGGGAGTGGATTGATGGTGGAAGGGGCAGGGGGTAGCAGTGTCCCACATGCCGTCCCACATTCCGTCCCACATACCTACACTCACATATATACAAAATCCTATAAAGTCATTATTAACTTGGGTAAATGCATTCCGGTGTCACGTCAACCTCCCGCTATCTGCAACATATCTCACTTCCGGTCGGTAATTAATTTGCATCAAGAGTATAAAAAGGTGAAAGGGGGGTCTTGGATATGGAATGTAGGATAATAATGTGGAGACAGGTGGTAGGAATGAATGCAAGAGAGAGAGAGAGAGAGAGAGAGAGAGAGAGAGAGAGAGAGAGAGAGAGAGAGAGAGAGAGAGAGAGAGAGAGAGAGAGAGAGAGAGAGAGAGAGAGAGAGAGAGAGAGAGAGAGAGAGAGAGAGAGAGAGAGAGAGAGAGAGAGAGGGGGAGAGAGAGAGAGAGAGAGAGAGAGAGAGAGAGAGAGAGAGAGAGAGAGAGAGAGAGAGAGAGAGAGAGAGAGAGAGAGAGAGAGAGAGAGAGAGAGAGAGAGAGAGAGAGAGAGAGAGAGAGAGAGAGAGAGAGAGAGAGAGAGAGACAATCAACAAGTGGCTGCTAGAGTTTAACTCAAGCAAGTACAAAGATAGTAGATGGTATGATATACCATCTTGGACTAATAAAACAGATAAGGCCTAATAAAACGAATAAATAACCTGGTAAATTACCTGGTTATAAATTGATAAATTACAAGGGATGGATAAAGGAGGAAATATTTGAAAAGAACACAGATGAGCCAAAGGGATAAGAGCAGTTACTCCTTCAATGTAAGAGTAATTGGAAATTAAATTAATTAAACCTAGAAGAAGCCAACTTTCTTTGATTTTTGTTCATGTACTCAGATCGAAAACAATTATGTAGGGATTCATTACATTAGACGACTGGTTGTCGGAATGACCGGTCCATGAGCTGAAGCTTGACTTTTCAGCCACAAATCTGTAAGAGTCACAATAACGTGGCTAAAGTAAGTTGACCAGGCCACACACTAGAAGGTGAAGGGACGACAACGATTCGGTCCGTCCTGGACCATTCACAATCGACTTGAGAATGGGCCAGGACGGACC